CGCTGGTGTATGTGTGTGGGACAAAGGGAAGAAGACAGACTAGGGAGATTCGAGGACTCTGCTAACTCTTTTTTTCTTTCACGTTCAATTGTATTTTGTATTGGTTTCAGGTGTACAGCTTACTGGTTAGATGATCATATACTTTACATAGTGTTCCCCTCAATATTTCCAGTACCCAACTGGCACCATCCATAATTATCATAATATTATTGACTATATTCCCTATGCTTTACTTACATCCCCATGACTATTTTGTGATTACCAACTTGTACTTCTTAATCCTTTCACCCAGTGCCCTAAACCCCCTCCCCTATGGCAACCACCAGTTCCTTCTCTGTGTCTATTGACACTGTACTCTTAATTGCATTGTCACACTGCCCTCTAATGGGCTGTAGGTATCTCACCAGATTGAATTGCTGGCTTCTGACCCACCTGACCCACTTCACTTTCTGCAGACAATTTCCTGCATCCACGGGCAATGTCTGTGCTAAACTTGAGGCCTGGGGGGCAGTGTAAATTGATTAAAGCTGGTTGTCATCTTTGCAAAATACAGGCAATTTCCAAAATAATGACAAAGAGGCTTCAGACATCAATAATGGCAGCTTGGCTAAGACTGGTGATCAAAATGTTGGCATACAATTAATTTGGATACTTATGCCATAAGAAACCATCTGGCCCTCGCTGGTTTGGCTCAGTGGTTAGAGCGCGGGCCTGCAGACTGAAGGGTTGTGGCTTCAGTTCTGGTCTAGGGTACACCCCTCCATTGCAGGTTCCATCTCGGGCCTTGGTCAAGGCGAATGGAGGAGGCAACCAGTCGATGTGTCTCTCTCACATTGATGTGTTCATGTTTCTCTCTCTCCCTCCCACTCTCTCTGAAAAGCAATGGAAAAAATATCCTCGGGTGAGGACTGAAAAAACAAAACAAAACTCATCTGAGTGATTTTTTTCAAGAACTATTAAAATGTTTCCAGTTATTAATTTAATTTTAAATAAACTTTCTCTTATTAGGGATTTTAAGTTAGAACAAAGCCAGCCTACTCCTTAGCAAAGTAACGTGGCAGCTGTTCTTATGAAGAGTGCTGTGCCATGCTAGCCTAATATGTTTTGGCTAGGTTTGATTGCAAATCTTAGTTGCAATTGTACCAATTACTTAAATCCTTGCTATTTCAGATTTTCCAAGTAAAATAAAAGGAACCCCCAACCCCAAGTTTAAAAGAGTGGTATTACATAAAAAGCATCTTACTAAACAGTGGAGATAACTAGCTAAATATGACACCACACCTGCCCTCAGCGAGCTCGCTGCTGGCTGAGGGGGAAGGGCATATTACTGTCATGTGCACAGTCCCCCTCCCATTAGCAAATAGAGTACCTGGCTAAGATCCATATGCCTACTAGGTAATTGATAAATACGTGTTGAATAAATAAAGGAATGAATGAAGAGATGAGGCAGTATGTGCAGAGGTTATGAGTTGGACAAATAGCCTGTTTTGATCCCAGCTCTGCCACATATGTAACCATGTCACTTCATTTAAAACCCTGCAGCATCGGTTTCCACATCTATTAACCTATCCCACAAGGCAACTGTAGAATTCTTACTGAGTGCCTCACATACAATAAGTACGCAATAAATAATAGTTTAATAATAATGTGTGAAAAGAGCAACAAGGAAAAGAAGGAGCGATTAACTTTGAGAACTAGATTATGTGCTATATATGTACATTCAGAAATAGGAAACAATTGTTGGATTTGGAAATTTTTTTATGATGAATAAGGAGTCTTTTATTTTCCAAAAACAATTTATTCCATGTGGTAGGAAATATGATCATTGAAGACAATGACTCACATCATTACAGCTCCGTAATGAGAGAAACTTCTCCGGTTAACTCAAGTTAAAAATTTTTCAGGGAAGGACTAAACGGCCTTGCTTGGATCAGGTCCATTTCAGACAGATCTCCTTAACCTGGTGTAGTAGGCAGAAATATGGCCCCTCTAACATGTCCATGCCCTAATTCTTGGAACCTGTGAACTTTACATGGCAGAAGGGACTTTGCGGATATAATGACAGGTACACGCTTTGCGGTGTGGAGATTGTCCTGGGTTATCCAGGTGAGCCAATTGAATTATGGGCTCTTCAAAGCAGAAAAGCTTTCCTGGCTGTGGTCAGAGAGAGACATTATGACAAGGAAGGGTCAAAGAGTTGTGGCATTGTTAGCTTTGAAGGTATTGAAAGAGGGTGACGAGCTAGGAATGTGAGGAGTCTCAAATCTGGAAAAGGCAAGGAGATGGACTCTTCCAAGGAGACTCCAGAAAGGAATGCAGCCCTGACGGTACCTTGCTCTTAGCTCAGTGAGAGCCACACTGGACTTCTGACCTACAAGGCTGTAAGATATTTTGTTGTTTTCAGCCACTAAGTTTGTGGTAGTTTGTTAAAGCAACAATAGGAGACTCATACACAAGGGAAACGGTGGAAACCTAGCTGCAGTTCTTCCCCAAATTCGCTCAACCTCATCTGCCCAGAGGCAGCTTGCTCAGTGAGATTCCCAGCAGCCTCCACCACTGCCTGCCTGCTCGCCTCGTTTACAGGAATAAATTGACTTGAGGGAATGAAGTAGACGATGCAGAGAGAGAGGCAGAGATAAGAGGTAGAGAGAATTCTGATGCTGCCTGAGTCCATGGTTCCAGTTACTTTTGAGGCCAAGGTCATGCTAGTGCTGTGGTTGTACAAGTTAAGTAATTCCTCTTTTTGAGTTCATTTGTTTGAATTAAATTTCTGTGACTTGCAACCAGACTGTTCTGCCTAAATCATAAATGTAGAGTGAGAGAGGGATGGCTGAGGAAGGAGTTTTTGTTTGTTTGTTTTTTTGTGTTTTTTTTTTTTTTTTAAAAAAAAGCCTTTGGAAACAGTACCTGATAATGGCTTAATCTGATTTCAGAGTAACCTACTGAGAAACACATTACCCTACTTTAGATGAGGAAAGTCATACTTACTGGCTAAGTGGCTTTCCCACAAGCAAGAGTGTTCTGAACTTAAAATGTAAAAAGCCAAGTCAGTTTGCTTTGTCTCCAGGGAAACACATTGTACATAGAGTATCCTGCCTTATGTTTTTTCTTTTTTAATGTTATCAAATTAGAGCCACTCTTTTTCAAGGCCTCACCACTTCCTATTTCTCTAGCCTCAGACACTTTAATGTGCCTAATGAGCTCAATGCTCTAATGTCTAAACAAGTACTAGACCAGCCTGCTTAAACCTAACATGGTGGTAGTGATAGAACTTTTGACACTGGCCATGTGATCATTCTGCCTTCTCCTAGAAAAAATAGAATTAAAAAGCAGTCACTATTGTTCCTGAAGCATGTTAATAGAAGGCTCTGGATGTCCCATCACAAGAGATATTTTATAATTTAGATGGAAATATATAAGGCCTTGTAACATTCATGACATTTGTCTTTCCGGAATATATGTATGCTTGCTTTTAATTCTGCCATTAGCAATTAGGAAGACTATGTCTATTGGTGCCACAAATAAGGGAAAAGGCTGTAGCTGCATCATTTTTGCCCCAGGGCAGCTTGCCCCTATGAAACAGCTCCTGGTTATGCCTATGGAGCTTCATGAGCCTGCCCCCTCTCTTCTGTCTGTCCTATGTTTTTTGGAGTTTTGAAAATTTTTTTGCATTTTGTCTATGAAAGTTTTGTTTTTAAGAAGAATCGAACAGAAAGGATTGTTCATAAGCCTTGATAAGATACCAAAATACCACTAATGGATCTTCAGGTCTTAGTTTAGCTTTATTTATTTGTTCAAAAATATGTATTGAGTACCCACCATCAACATGTTCCCCAGGGCTGCTGTGGATGGCTGTGCTGGTGAATGGCACCTACTGAAGTTGTACAGTGCACAACTTCCAACTGCTGGTGGTCCTTGCCCTCATGGAGATGAAATCTAGTGACTTCTAGGGTCTTGCTTGAACTTTCCTCCCTCTCAGACTGAAAAAAGTGCTCCTACTATGTGCTCCATAATACGCCCAATCATAGGACTTTACCCATTTATTTATAATGGTCCTGTTACATTGTAAACTCAAAGGGGACTGAGAGTGAGACTATCTTGTCACTTTCTAGGGGCTAGGGATGCATCAGTGAATTAAACACTGAAAAAAAATCTGGCCTCTGGGAGCGGATAATGTAGCAAAAGTGAGAGAGTGTAAACAATTTCAATGTGTAGCAAGCTAGATGGAGATAAATGCCATGGAGAAAAATAAAGTAGGGAATGGGGGCTTTCTCCTCACCTACTTTGGATCTTTGCTTAAATGTCACCTTTTTTCCCTTTGAGATAGGAAACCTTGGAGGTTTGGAGGAGTGAGATATTATCTGTCTGAAAAGAAGAACAACATTTAGGAATAGAACAGTAGGCACACTTAGCAAAAAGCTAGCAAGGCAGTGATCAGATCTCCACTTTGTTGGGGATCAGGCCACAGCAAATAGCATTTTATACCGCATTTGGAGAACAAGGACCCAGCCTTTCCCCTCTAAAACTCTGACACAATTTCTTCCTGAACACGTTTTTACAAAAATCCTGGAGAACCGTGTTCTAATCTGGGCTGACTGTATTTTTGCAAAATACTATCAGCCTACAGACCTTTTGCACCTGGCTGGGGTGTCTGAGGCTAGGAGCTGTTTAAGCCTTTCTAACCCGTTTTATCGAGAAAGCGTCCTCCTAAGGAAATGACATCTTGGGTAATCAAGGGACTCTGCTGTACTTAACACGTGTTCGGTATTTTCCCACCCAATACGCCTCAGGCATACATGCATCTCTGCCTTCCTGCCGTCGGGGCTTCGCTCCCTAGTCTTTTGACAGGAGCCCGTGAAGCATCCCGGTCACAAGCAGCCCTGCCTCCCCAGCTCCGGATCCGCGGGGCCGCGCAGCCTTCTGGGAGCCGTAGGCTCTGGCTTTCCTCCGCTGCAGAACTACAACTCCCGGCAGGCTTCGCTTCTCACCTCCTCCCTCTTAGCGCACGGCTTGCCGGGAGGGGGCAGGTAGCGGCCGGGCAGGGTCCAATGGGTACCGGCTCCCGAGGAGAGGGCGGAGGAGAGGAGGAAGGAGGCGGAATCTGGGCCCCGGCCCCATTCATTGCCGCGGCCCGCCGGGCGGGGGTCCCGTCTTCTCGGAGTCATGGAGGCGCTAATTCCTGTTATCAACAAGCTCCAGGACGTCTTCAACACTGTGGGCGCCGACATCATCCAGTTGCCTCAGATTGTCGTGGTGGGAACGCAGGTGAGAGACGAGGGCGACGTCCGCCCAGGCCAAAACCCGGGCGCGGGCC